ATACATACATACATACATACATACATACATACATACATACATACATAAATGACTGTGCTCACCACAGGCTAGACACCTACACGGTACATGTGCCATACTGGGCACCAGCCTTGTGAGCCACTGAGAATAGCATCCCTTCACATGGTTGTGGAAGGACTAAAGTCCCAGGCCGTGTGCCTCACGCAAGGCCTGCCAGCAGGAAGGTTTCAAAGGACCACAGAGGCTCCTCAACTCTCTGTCCCCTCCGAAGACCAGGGCCGGAAGCAGCGCCAGGTCTGCTCCCTCAGCTGGGTTAAAAATGTGCATGTTCCTAGGACCTGAGGTTTCCGAAGCCTCTGCTTACAAACATGGGGGCAGGGCATGAGGGCCAGGACCTCGAATAACTAGGGGGTGGGAATGAGAAAGCACCCCCACATGATCACCCCCTCGCCAGAATGGGAGCTGGGGGGATTTCCCGAGGGCCAGCCGGTCTGACAGGCTGTTCTGCGTCCAGGTACGAAAAGCTCATTGGTGGAAAGTACATGGGCGAGCTGGTACGCCTTGTGCTGCTCAAGCTGGTGGACGAGAATCTTCTGTTTCACGGAGAGGCCTCGGAGCAGCTGCGCACGCGTGGCGCCTTCGAGACCCGTTTCGTGTCGCAGGTGGAGAGGTGCCTGGAGGGCGCAGGAGCAAGGGCAGGATGCGGGAGGAGAAGGGATGGGGTGGGGACAGCGGTGGGCTCAGGGACACAGAGTATTAACTAGGTCAGGGGCGCAGGGGGACATGCAGCCAGGCCCAAAGCTCCCGTGACCTCTGACTGTCCACTGATTCAGTGTCCACGTTCCCCAGTCATTCTCCACTACCCAGGGTCACTGTCTCAACTTCATCCACGCCAGGGTCCAAAGAACTGTGGCATTGTCACCCTCATGATAGAGAGAGCCCACGCTGACCACTGGATCGGGGCGGGTCATTCCCATTCCTCCAGGACCCTCAGTGACTCCCCTCCCCAATGCTTCCCGCAGCGACTCCGGTGACCGCAAGCAGATCCACAACATCCTGAGCACTCTGGGGCTTCGGCCCTCGGTCGCCGACTGCGACATCGTGCGCCGAGCTTGTGAGAGCGTGTCCACTCGCGCCGCCCACATGTGCTCGGCGGGACTAGCAGGGGTCATAAATCGCATGCGTGAAAGCCGCAGTGAGGACGTGATGCGCATCACGGTGGGCGTGGACGGCTCCGTGTACAAGTTGCATCCCAGGTCAGCCTCTGCTTCCGCCTCCTTCCGCTTCCGCTCCAGCCTCTCCAACCTGAGGTCCAACCTCTCCCTACTAAAGGAGGGCGTAAAGGGCGTGGCTCTCGGCTCCACGCGTTTGCGAGCCGGTGATGCCTTGTTCCCCCTCTCCTGGGGTGGGGGTAGGGGTGGAGGTAGGGCTGGAGGTGGGGATAGAGTCAGGGTGGGACTGCGGTGGCCGGGTAGCCGAAGTGAGGTCGAAAAGGATGGGAGGAGAAATGGCGGCCCTGTCGTCCTCCCGCTCAGCTTCAAGGAGCGATTCCACGCCAGTGTGCGGAGGCTGACACCCAACTGCGAGATCACCTTCATCGAATCGGAGGAGGGCAGCGGCAGGGGAGCAGCGCTGGTGTCGGCGGTGGCCTGCAAGAAGGCCTGCATGCTGGGCCAGTGAAGTCCAGGCCGCAGGGACAGGGACCTGGGTTCCACAGGACTCCACACCCCACAGGTGCTCCCAGCCCACCGGGGCGGGAGACCTATTCTGCGGCTACCTCTGGAAAATGGGAGAGGCCCCCTGCCAGCCGAGCAGGCCTTTCTGCAGAGCCAGCCAGTGGGACAGCCCTAGGGTTCTGAGCCTGGGGCACGGGGCTGGATCGGAGGCCCCAAAGCCTTTCTTGCTAGAATCGGCTACAGAGGAAGGCGTTGCACACTCAGGACTTGCATTTCACACTTCTTGCCTCCCACCGCTGTGGGCCTGGCCTCCCTGACCTCCCAAGGGAGTGCCTCCTGGACCTTGCCATGGACTGGCTTCCCTGGGCACACACCTTCATGGGGAGGTAGCTCCAGCAGCTAGGCCAGATCAGACCTGGGCCCCCAGGAGGGCAAGGGCTGCTGGTCACCCAGGCCTGGCTGTTTTCTTGCCTCAGACTGAAGAGGCTGGGGAGCCATAGGAACCACGGGAGACTAGGACTGTCCAGCCGCATGGAGGGGACTTTCCAGGCCAGAAGCATCCCAAAGAGACCATTTCCTTCATATACCTCTAGCTCTGAGTGGTTTATGGTTCTGGGATGAACCCTTCCAGGAGATGCCAGAGGATAGAGCCCTAGAGTCCCCCGCCTAAGGGGACCAGAAAGGGGCAGCCTCCTCACTCTGCACTATCAGGAGCTCCCCTTCCTTCAAGCAGGATGGCATTTTCAATTCTTACATCCCTGACCCAGGAGGAAAAAGCAAGCCACCCTCAGTATCCCTCCAAGAGATCACCCAGGGCCCTCTCTCATCCTCATCAGGCATCCCAAATACCACACCTCCCTCTCTACACAAACCGGGGACTATGGGAGGGGAGGGGGGAGTTTTTAATTAAACATTCTAAAATGCTTAAACATGGCCTGCCCGTGGTTCTTTGACCTTTGTGCATAAGGACTGTGGTGACAAAGACACATCACTGGTGTACGTGGTTACTCCCTAAACTCGGTTGCTGTGCCCTCCAGACACCATGCCCAGGGGAGCGTGAGAGGCAGGCTGTAGGAATGGGAATGAAGTGACATGGGGACACTCCAGGCACTGAATAGCTAGGCCCAGGCCCCTGGCTGCCTCTGATGTGAAAGAGGGGGCAGAAATCCCAGGCCAGGCCACAGTCTGGTTTGGGGTGAGGGGGTGGGGTACAGGTTCAGCTCTGGGATGGTCTCTGCGGCATTCTGCTGGAAGCAACAACAAGGACCAGGGTTATGAAATGTCCGAACAATTTCTAGGGTTCCTCCAGAGGCTCTGGTAGGTGAAATCACTAGCAAAGGGCCTTTTCTCTGTAGCATAAACACCTTCAAGTAAACAGACTTGTATGATTTTAATATACATTTATTTCTCAGTGGAACTATCTGGAAAATCAAAGGCAACTGCTCTCTGTTTCATTCAGGAAAACAAAACAAACAAACAAAAAACCAAATTGGTGATTTTGGGGGAAGATACTTCTTCCTTGAAATCTTAGCATTTTCTGGTAATTCTCACATGGAATCACTTCTGATCATCTTCATTCTCTTTAACCAACACAAGCATTTGCTTATGTCATACAGTAAAGTGCTCATATTTGAACACATGTCTTGGAACAGGTTTTTAATATAGATGGCTTTCATCTTCTCTTACATACTGGAATCTGAGACATTGTACAGTTTTTATTTTATCTATCTATCATCTATCTATCTATCTATCTATCTATCTATCTATCTATCTGGTTTCTTGGGACAGGGTTTCTGTGTGTAACACCCCTGAATGTCCTGAAACTCTCTTTGTAGACCAGGCTGACCTCAAACTCACTGAGATTCACCTGCCTCTGTCTCCCAAGTGCTAGGATTAAAGGTGTGGGCAACGCCCGGCTTGTGCAGATTTTAAAAAATAAATAAATAACCAACTCTTTACACATCTAAAGGAAATGAATGAACTTCATTTTCAGATAGTAAGGGAGGTGTTATAAAACACTCATTAAAGGAGGCCTTGGAGCCGTGTGTGGTGAAAGCTTGGCCTGGGCAACAGAGTGAGTTCCAGGCTAGCAGAGGCTACATAGCTGACCCCATCTTAAAACAAAGGGTGGGGTGGGACTTGGGTCCTAACAGGGAAAGTACCCATATTCTCCCAACACATCTTGCACAGCCACGTCGGGTGAAGAGGAACACCTAACCCAGTCAGAGGCCTTCTGCTGTCCACCCACAAGCTGCCCAGCTTCCCTGTCCCCCTGCCACACTGGAGTCCTCAAGAAATCGACCGTTATTACTTGCAGCCTGAGCCCCTTGGAATGCCATTCAGATCCACTGGATGGGCTCTTTTTGGGTTCCTTAGCCACTTCCACAGGAACCCAAAACTTTCCTGAGAAACATCATCACACAGGCCTGCCATGTGCCAAGGCCTCTGAATTCCAGATGTTGAGCATAACAAACAGCAAGACTCCAAATAGGGTGTCTCAGCAGGGCAGGTGCGAACAGCAGCCCTGGTCTAAATGTGAGGGGAGCAGGTGACTCTGTCGCCTCACTCCTGAGTTACCCCCAAACCAAGCACAGGGTTGTGTGGGGCTGGCAGGCTGCTCAGAAATGCTGTCTGACCCTTGTCAGCCGGGCAGCAGGCCAGAGCTCAGGGTATTCACCCAACCCAGAGGATTCAGGTCAGAGACCATCCTCTAGCATGCACTGCTTCCTTAGGCCAAAGAGTAAGGGCGGCACTAGCCAGGGTCCAGCCTGGGCTTGCAGGAGGAATGATCAGATAAGGGGACACAGGGACCGTCCATGTGACCTGGAATGGTAAAAAGGTTTGAGCGTCTCTGCCCAGGGAAGACACGGAGCCTGGTCATAAGAGATGGATGGATTCAAGGATGTAGCACTTGGGGCCTTGGAGGTCACCAGGAGTGTGAGTGGAATCCACTTGGGGCCCTGTCTTCCTCCACCGGCGGGGGGGGGGGGGCTTCCAAGTTTAGCCCAGTCATCAATTCCTGTCCTTATTTGGGCCTCTGGGTGATAAGGATGCGACATAAAGAGCCTGGTGACAAGCCCACACAGCCAGACCACTGCAGAGCATGGTGAGTGCTGGGTGGGGACCAAGAGACATCCAGGTGCTAGACTCCGCACTGCTGAGGCGCAGAGCCAGGACTTCTGTGCCTCTGCTGGGCTCAGGGACGTGACCTCTAAGGGTGGAGAAAGGCCCCTCATCCTGGCAGTGCCCTGAGGTTTCATGGGGTAGGGAGGGGGGCTCTTTGGAGAATCAGAGAGAGGACCCTTCTGAGCATTAGTATTACAGGCCAGTAGGAAGGCTGGGACCCGAGGCAAGGCTGCAGCCACCAAGCAGGCCCAACGTGGCTCTTCCAATGTCTTCTCCATGTTCGAACAAGCCCAGATTCAGGAATTTAAGGAAGTGAGTATCCTGTCTCCAACACCCTGTCACCCCAGGGGAGCCCACTCCACACCCAAGCACACCGCTCTTCTCTGAAGGTCAGCCTTGCCCCTCACACCACCCAACACTCTCCCTTACCTCCGGCCCTCCCTGGAAGGGAGCGGTCAGTACTCCTGCCTGAAGGCCCTCTCCTCACAGGCCTTCAGCTGCATTGACCAGAATCGCGATGGCATCATCTGCAAGTCAGACCTGAAGGAGACCTATTCCCAGCTCGGTGAGAGGATCCACAGACCAACCTCCTAGTGACCCGTGCTGTTCTCCTCAGGGGCTTGCTGGGAGAGAGGACAGTGCCTGCCCTTTCTTTCAGACTTGTCAGTCCAATCACACATCCCTGGGGCCCCGCCAGCCCCACAGCTGGAGCTGTTTCTGCCTCTCCCCTCACTGCCGGGGAAGCAGGGGAGGGCAGCCTGGGTCACCTCAAGTTCTTCCCTCATAGGGAGGGTAAGTGTCCCAGAGGAGGAGCTAGATGCCATGCTGCAAGAAGGGAAGGGCCCCATCAACTTCACTGTCTTCCTCACACTCTTCGGGGAGAAACTCAATGGTGAGTCTGCATCAGGTCTGGGTCTCCATAGCCAGACATCAAACCTTACCTAGCCTGACCCCTGAGTCCCATGGAAGACTCACCTGACCTCACCTGAAAGCTGTGGACCCGTCCTGGCCATTGGATGTCGAGCAGTGGGTACGGAGCATCCCGGCTGACATGGGTTCAGAAAACAGCCACTTCCAAATCCCAATTCTAATTTCCCAGCCAGGCCTGCCAACCCTTTTGATTCCCAGGAAACCCTCTGTAGGGTGAAGCCACACACACAACTCTCCTGCACCTTCTCATCCTCCCCACCTTACCTTATTTATAAGAGGCAGCCTTGGCCCTTCAGTCCCCCTCACCGTCCCGCCAACACCTGCCAGGAAAGAGCCTGGCTCCCTTGTACTGTAAGTTGGTCCTGGGTGGGGCCTAGAGGCTGGGGACGCCACAGTTCACTTGCTGCCTCCACCTCCAGGGACCGACCCCGAGGAAGCCATCCTGAGTGCCTTCCGAATGTTTGATCCCAGCGGCCAGGGTGTGGTGAACAAGGAGGAGTAAGTGAGGTCCTTCTCTCCCTCAAGATGGGCACCACAGGGAAACCAAGAGGGTGGAGAGGTCCTTTGTGTGTCTCAGGCAGGTGACTAACCTTCCCTGGGCCCCAGCCACTCTCCCTCCCAGCTCAGGCTTTCTCTTCCCTCAGATTCAAGCAGCTTCTCATGACCCAGGCAGACAAGTTTTCTCCTGCTGAGGTGAGACATCCTGGCATTGCCACTCTAGCACTAGGAAGACCTCATGACCCATGACCCCTAGGGCTCAGAATCCAGATCCTATGTGGGGCAAGCTAACTGGGTAACAGGAACTTCCCCGAAGAGATACTGTCTCTGTTAAGACCCAGAGGGGAGAATGCAGACTCAGAAGAGAGTTGGGTTCATCCTTGTGGTCAGGTGAGCCCTTTGTCCCCTCCCCCATTGGGGCCCACTTCCTAATCCATTCACCAACAGAAAAAAAACACTAGGCTGCAGTTTGGGATTGCAAAGGCTGAGTCCTAAAGCGGGGCTGTTGGGACAGGGTGTCGTTAGGTCATCGTATCTCTTCGGTCACGCCTTCTGCAGGTGGAGCAGCTGTTTGCCCTGACGCCCATGGACCTGGCAGGCAACATCGACTACAAGTCCCTCTGTTATATCATCACCCACGGCGATGAGAAAGAGGAGTAGAGGCAGGCTGGCCTCTACTCAATAAACGCTGTGCCTGAACTAGAACTGAGGTGTTGGCTTCACTGTGACAGACGGGGTGGGGATGGGCCAGGTGGGGGGCACGGGGCCCTGTGGAGCCCCGCCTTGATTTACCCCACACTACCAAGTAAAATGTGAGCCCTTGTTTTGCCTACCGCTGAACTCCAAGAGAGAAAATGGGATGCACACAACGAGGTCTCCCGCTCCCCACGAGGCCCAGCTCAAGCTCTGGAAGAAACCTCTCGCTGGACACTTAGCAAAATTTCTGCAGAACATCCAGCTGGTGCTGTAGTCCCAGGGACCCCAAACCACAGTCTCCCCTGAATGCTGAGATCCACAGCCCATTCTCCTCTTGATATGCTGGCTCTGCAGGCTCTGTGAGAAAAACACACAGAAACCTATTTAAAAACACAGCCAGATCTGGAGGGGCAGCTCAATGGAAGCCTTACATGGCATGTCCCATGCCCTGGATCCCATTCCCAGCAAGCACCTTTCCCCTAGGGGGAAACCACAATCATATTTGAAGAATAGGATGACCATGGTATGGTGGGACGTGGCACTGGAGGGGGAGGGCGGAATCACGATCATATTGGAAGTACAGGAAGTGTTAGTATTTAGGCAGCCTGCTTCCGCAGGGTTACCTGGTAACCTGTGATATCATCATGTGTCGCCTGCCAGGTGTGACT